ATTTAATTCTCACAACAGCCCCAAGAGGTAGGGAGTATGAGTATCCCTGTTTTACAGGTGGCAGGACTGAGGTTTAGGGATGTTAAGGGATTGGAATATATAGCCAGTAAAGGAGAGCTGGACTTTGAACCTAGGCAGCAGATCACTACAAATTTGTCACAACGGACAGAGAAACAATTCAAAAAAGCAAGTCCTAGAGGTGGTGGGTCCATTGTATCACACAGAGAGAGGGGACAGAATGGTAGCTGATGGTGCATAACTGGCTTGTGCAGTGTTTTGCCTTGTTGGCATATAGTTCTGTTTTGCGTGTCTCCACATTGGCATATCGGGAACAATCAGCTGGGAGGGTTAGATATCCCAGGCCACTTGGAAGAGACCTCAGGGAATTATGGAGCTTAGGTGTGAGTTCAAGTGCACTTGAGATAGGAGCAGTGGTTTTAAATAAATTTGCCTATGAATCTGTTTCTCCAACACCTTCATTTTGTGCAGATTTTTATCCACAGTGTGGTGTGGCCAAGTTCTTATGCAGTTATGTGTCAGAGGGGAAAAGTGAGATTGTTTTGTCTAGCTATTGCTTTATTTGTGCCTTAAATTTATATGTTAAAAGAAATTCTTCTCTGTGCTTTATTAGGAAGGCCTGGATAATTGTCGTAAAGGTTACCCGTAAAAAATTCTGGGAATCCAAATGATTCTGTAGTCTCTCTTAATTCTCTAGGGACATGTAAATTGAATTGGCTCAGCAGTGAACAGAATTTATTGCAAATCACATTTTAGTGCAGAGGAAGCATATGAAGGCTTTCCTCACCCGCCTTTGATTTATTAAATTGTACTCCCATGGTAGCTTCTGGGTGAGGACTCATGGAATTGCTGTGCCCTGTGATTTGTATCAAAGGCCCACTTTCCTGCCCAGTGTTTATCTCCAGGATCAAGCGCTGTGGTTCAGAGAGAACACGAAGTGTTCCTTTTACGTTAGATGCCGGCTTGTTGCATAGGTTAGTAGTGAATGCTTCAGGCTGGAATCAGAATGCCGTTCCCAGTTTCATTTTCTCTCTTACTCATGGCAAATTCTTTCCTCCAGTGACTCACCTTCCCTAGCTGCCCAGGATGTCTCATCACCTTTATCTTCCCCTTCCTCCTCCTCAAAATGTCTCACTTATGTGGTTAGTGGTTAAGAGCTTGGGCTCTGGAAACAGACTGTAGGAGTTCCTGTCTGGATTCTAGCCGCTTCCAGCTACCCAACCTTAAGCAAGGGACCTAACCTCCTCTCTAATGCCTCAGTTTTCTCATCTATACGATGGGAATAATTAGGTTGGTGTGAGGATAGCACATATAGAGTGCTTGGCATGGTGTCCGACGCATAACTAGATTTTTGTTATCGTTTCTGTTAATTTATTATTACTATTGCAGTTATTACATAATGACACTCAGATGGACCCTGATAAGATAAAAACATATAATTTCTCTTTTCTAGAAGCATACACTTGAAAACAGACATGCACTGGCGTGGATATTACATACATCTTCATGTACAGTGTTTAGCAGAAGCTAAAGCATACCTATGTCAAAGTGTAGAAAGACAGAAGGCTGAGAAACTTGAGTGTGGCCAGGTCTCAGAGTCCTCTGGCTAATCAGAACAGAGAGGCTGTGGCTTCTGCTGAGTTGTTGACAAAGTGTATTAGCTGATCAGTCTTACTAGGAGCCATATTCAGAATTGTTTAGCGAGTCATGCCCCCTTGAAATGATCCTGCAGAATTGGGTTCTGTCCTTTCAAGAGAAAGGTTCTGGAGGCGCTTACTTGAAAGTATATAAATCTGAGATAGCTCTGCTGGTCATAAGCCTGAAGCCACTGCCAGAGACCCTTCATTTCAGAAAATTGACCTTGCCTTTGAACTCCAGTCTGACACTAGTGGGCACCTGTGATTTCTGTAGAAGAAGGTTTTCCCAGAACAGACTGACCGTTTCTAAAGGGTGAATTGCAAACCCTTTGCCTCTGCCAGTATGGAAGGCATTTATGAACCATAGACCACTGGGGTGGCTTGGTAGTTATGTGCATTTGCCACTGCCTGGAATAAAAGAGTACTGGAACATCCCTGTAGAGGCAAGATAGAATGGTTCGCCACCTCCCAGCTCTGTGTCCTTGGACAAACGGTGTAACCTCTCTGGCCCTCAGGTTCCACATCTGTAGACTGGGAATCACACTGGTACCTAACCACAGGCGGTTTCAAGGATTAGATGATGCCTTGTGTGACACTTGGTAAATGCTTAGTAATAAAGACACTCCCTGGTAGTGCTGCTAGTGTTCTCAGTGCAGAGGAAGCACGTGAAAACTTTCCTCACCCTCCTCACTTTCCTCGCATTAAGAGGATACCACCCTCTTACCGTGTCGCCATCTGGCCTTTGTGCCCGTGAGGCTGCTCCCAGACCCTGGGTCTTCCTGGTTGGGCCGTGTAGTCACACACTCCTGGTGGGCATGGTTTATTAGCTTCATTTCAGAGCTCATTCTCTTTGGCTCATTTACCCAAACCAGACAGAGATTAATGGCCTGGCCTCAGGGCATCAGGCGGCACATGTTTCTGGTGCTTTCGGCTCATTGACCACACCTCTCCAGTTTGGGGAATGCTGGGTGTTCCAGGCAGAGGTCTTTTGAGACCTAGGGAACCTGGAAGGAAAGCAATTTGGTGCAAACTCACTGTCTAAGGAGGGCTGAAAGCCTTGCATTTTGCTTTTTCTTCTGGATTTTGCCACTTATAAATAGGATCAAAAGGGTCTCTGGGATAGAATGTTTGGATTTAATGGGAGAGATGGCTGAAAAAAATACTTGCCAAAATATGGTCTCTTTCCCTGCACTTCTCTTACCCAACTTTCCAAGGTTAGTGAGCTCCATTCACCATGGATCACTGGTCCCAGCTATTACGAGGCTACCCATTTCCCTAAAAGGTCACAACCCCCTGTAGGATCTCGTCACTGCGCCCCGCCCCATCCTTAGCTCCTACCTTGCACTGACTGCTGATCACACTGGCCTTCCTTCCTCCAAGGGGCCATGCCTTTCCCCTCTCACAGACCTGCACTTGCTGTTGCGCTGGCCCCTAGGCCTTCCCAAGGTGGTCCTCAGCATTCAGGTCTCGTACAGCCGTCACCTCTTCAGAGAAGATATTCCCCACCCCAGGCCCACAGCAGACTTTTATTTTCTCCACTGTACTTATCAGTAGTTGAGTATCATATTTGTGTATCTGCTTATTTCTGTTTCCTTCCCTAGTAGGCAAGTTCTGGGAAGCAGAGACCACAGCTGTTCTGCTCATCCATGTCTTCAGCATCTAGAACACTGCCTGGCCATTATGACCAGACAATAATACTTGTTAAGTGCATGAGCGAATGAACAGATTAATGAATTGCAAGTAACTTTAGAGATTACCCATTCAAGAGGTCTTCACATTTTTCAAAGCCAGTATCCCCTTATTTGATAGTCACATGCATGGAGACAATACAAGCAAAGGGAAGGGGGACACTTGGATACTTGGAGTCTTAGCTTCTCACCTAGCCCTCTGGCCATCCTAGTGCAGGTGCTGTGGAGTTCAATTTTAAAAGCATGATCTAGTTCACATCGATCACTTGTATTGATAGTGGAGGTGCTGCTGAGGGAGAACCGGCGACCATGTTCCCCTGGTACAGAAAGAGTATCTTTTCCAAAGAGTAGACGTTTTTGAAACAGAGGTCTACTACTCAGAAGAATGGAATATTTTTAGAGGGAGGATACCGCTTAGCTTAATTAAGGTTCAAAGTTAGTATTTCCTATCACCAAATCAGTTGCAGAAGTCCATCCGCAGTTACCAGGGTTAGCTCATGGGCTGTCCAAAAGCAGACTGTGAGCTGGATTTTGGTGTGCCAATCCCTGACGTGCTAACATTATTAAATAAAATAAAATCTCTGCTTTAGGACAATGTCATAGTGCCCAAATCTGGTGATTACGATTCTGTAGGTGTGAAAAGGCATAAGGTGAAGCTGGTCATCAAAACTTTAAAAAAAGATATTCCACGTGACTCTGATGGCCACTCCTGGTTGAGAACCACTTATTTAACCCTTAGAGGGACCGAGCCATGAAAAAAGAGCCATGAAACCCTAAAAGGGATTTTCACCTGCTAGGAATATTATACCTGTATTTTGAAAAAAAATATTAAATTCTGAATTTTATCCAAAATATTTGTGGAAATTTCTTTTCTCTCTTGTTACACAAGTACCTACATAATATCATTGATTTTGCCTCCTGGCCTGTAAAGCCTAACATATTTGCTGTCTGGCCCTTTACAGAAAAAGCTTGCTGACTCCTGCAGTATGTCATTGTCTGTTTTACATGGGGCACTTTCCCTTTTGTGATTCCTGTAAGCCATTTAAGGGTTTTCATTATAAAAGTAATATATTTTTCTTATAAAATTCAAATTTACAAAAGTCTGCAAGGTAAAAAATGATTGGTCCCATTCCCCAGTGTTAACACTTAACAGTTTGTAATGTATCTTTGTCCTGAATTTGCCACTTTTACTAGCTGTGATGCTCCATTTGTAAATTCTCCATTTGTAAAAACAGTGGTAATAACAGTTACTACCCAACAGAATTGTTTTGTGGATAATTTGAGATAATTCATGTGAATTGCTTAGCACGTTGCCTGGTGCACAGTTAATGCTTAATGATTTATAACTAATTTAAAATGTTTTCTCCTTTTTAGCTTCAGTATACATAGTTTGTTTTTTAAAGAAGGAATATGATTTTTTTTTTTTTTTTACAATACAGTTTCTCAGATGATTCTAATGTACACACACTTAAGAACAGTTGAAGTAAACACTGGGAGTTAGATAATTATAGAAGGGATTCCTATTTGGGGGCTGGCTAGAAATTGCCTTCTATCTTATAGCCCAAACTAGGGAAAGGGGGAAGGTAATGGTTTCCTTCAGTGGACCTGCAGGGTGGTATAAAATGCACACAAGTAAATGTTTATTTCTATTTTCCAGGTCTACAACTCGAACAAAGACAATCAGAGCGAAGGAAGTAAGTACAGTGCTTTGGTAATTTTCTATAGTTAGGGTTGGGGTTAGGCTTTGAGAAGTTGCTACTCCAGGGAAGAGCCACCAGGAGGTGCTGTGGGCATGTTGGGTCTACCCCATTACCCCCACTGCAGCCTGAGAGGCTTCCACCCTGGAGTCTATGACTCCAGGACATTCTGTGAGCCCTACTGGCAAGGCTGTAATGACACTTTGCATTATATAACCCTTCACACTTTACAAAACATTTTCATGTATGTTATCTCAGTTAATCCTAGCTTGCTTTAAGAAGGTAGATCTAATCATCACTTAAAAATCACTTAATCCAGTAATACTCAGTTCCTCAAGAGCCCTGTCTTATGAGAAAGCCAGAATTGACTTTACCTCCTACACTGTCTTGCTCAAAGGACTGGAGAGACAATAATTATCTTAGTGGTCGCTTAGTGTTCTTTGTTGCCTCTTTGGAGAGGAAGGAGTGGAGATAGCGAGCTCTGTAATAATATTCCTCTTTGATGGGAGTGACCCTGAGCAGCCTCTGTAGAATATATAGGACATTCCCCCTGCTGCTGGCTCTGAGCGCTCTTGGTTAATCATGATTTCCAAGGGCACCTGCAACCTTGTAAAGATGAGGGGATTAAAATAAAACTACTGCTAGAGTGTTTGGGCTGATTATCTCCTTGGTGCACAGGAGAAAAAACAAATTCCTTCCAGGTTGCTACAAGAGTACAAAGGAAATCCTGTCCCCTTGCCTCAGATTTGCTTTGTAAAATCTACTTGGAAAAAAAAATTCAAAGGTAGCCCTACCATGAATTCCAGTCATGTCAGAAAAATCTGTAAAAACAGTGCCTGCCCATGTGGATGGACAAAAGGATGAGCTGGTTTTTGTGGGGTGAGATCCATTATAGGACAGAGATTTTCATTCTTTCAAAAAAACAAATTTTACCAGGAGGTTTTTTGTTTGTTTGTTTTTTCAGTCCTCGCCCAAGGACATGTTTTTATTGATTTTTAGAGAGAGAAGAAGGTGGGGAGAGAGAGAGAAACATCAGTGTGATCTATTGCCTCGTATACCCACCCTGGGGGATTGAACCTGTAACCTGGGTATGTGCCCTGACCGGAAATCAAACCCATGACCCTTCAGTGTATGGGACGGCACTTCAACCAACTGAGCCACACTGGCCAGGGCTTTACCAGGAGTTTTATATGAGATATTAAGTAATTTGAAATGGTGGCTTTTGGTAGAGACTTTTAGGAAAAATTTTTTCAAGTAAATATTCAAGGAAACGAGTCATTTTTTCCTTCCCTCTATCAGGTAGAGATTGTTTGAGAGCATTTGAAATTGACTTTGGCTAACTTGAGCTAAAATAACAATAGCAAAAACAATAGTAATAACCATGTAGGAATATAGAATGCTGTAGGGTAACTCACGGTAAGATAGGAAGAGCTGAAGAACCAGGCTTGAAGATATACCATCGCTGGAGACCCAGGAACTAATGAGAAAGGGTCTCCTGGATGATATTTGCAGGATGATAAAACCCTAAACTGTCTTTAGTTTTTGTCTCACTCTTCTGAAAATTCAGATCGCCAGGAAAGATAGCATCAAGCTAGTCTATCTTGGGCCCAGCCAGGGGAAAAGAAGACACCATTGACAGTTTCAAGTGTACTGCATAAAATAGGAGCGGAGTAGTTTGCCAGAGGGAAATCAGGGAACCCACTAGGGCAAGAGAGGCTAGATGTCACAGAGGCCATAGAAACAGGTGCCCAACCTGGATCCAAGATCTATGGGGGGTGAGAGGCATATGAATGGAGACCCCCAACCTGAAGTTTCCTTGCAACTGATCATATGAACCTGCTTCTCTCTGCTTGAGATAAGTACTAATAGATTTGAAAGATGGCCCTGATTCCATTTTCAGCTGGTTCTACCATTGTGTAAAGCCTTTTAGGAATATGTGTTGAAAGCCTTTGAGTGAATATCCTTTGACCCAACAGTTTGTCCCAAAGAAATAGACTAGAGTTCAAAGACGTTTGTGCCTCAAAAGAGTTTTCACTGGAACATTGGAAATAATAGCAAAGAATTGGAGACAATCTAAATGTCCAATAGGGAATGGATTAAAAATGTCATAGAATACGATGTAGCCTTTAAAAAGAACAAGAGAGATCTAGGTATATTTACATAAATAGAGCTCCCGTATACTGTTAATCAAGTTTTAAAAAAATCTTGTTATAGAACAATTTAGTAAAATATTCAGTTTATCTAGAACAGTGACTTTCAACCTTTTCATCTCATGGCACACATAAACTAATTATTAAAATTCTTCAGCACACCAAAAATATATTTTTTTGCTGATCTGACTAAAAAATAGATATAACTTTGATTGATTTAATAAAGAAAATAACAATAGCATTTACCCTTTTTGCTTATGTATCGGTGCCTATACTTGTATATAAGGATTTCTGGTACCAAGAATTAACCAATCAGATGCAACCTTATTATGAAGCATGAACAGTAAGATGCAGCTCTTGCAAATCCATTTTTTTAAAATATGCAACTAATGCAACTCCATTTTTTAAACATCTTCACCGAGAATATGTTTTTATTGATATTTTATTTTATTATTTTATTTATTTTATTTATTTAATTTAATTTTATTTTATTGAGAGAGAGAGGAAGGGAGAGAGAAACATTGATTTGAGAGAGAAACATTGATCAGTTGCCTCCTGTACATGCCCCAACTGGGGGTCAAACCACAACCTAGGTATGTGCCCTGACTGGGAATTGAACCCGTAGCCTTTTGGTTTATGGGACAGCGCTCCAACCAACTGAGCCACCTGGCCAGGGTAAGATGCAACTTTGTTATATGACTTATATATTTATGGTTCAAGACAGGGCATTCACACCAATGGCTATTGTTGTGTTGGCTGTTACTATTTTTTATTTGACAGTCTAAGGGAAAAGAGGTCAGTGCCCTAGACTAAATAGGTATTGCGTGTTTTTAAAATCCTTTTGGCACACCAATTGAAGGTCACTGGTTTAGCTACATTGATAGAAAATGGTCTGGAAATACATTTTTCCATCAAAGTCTTCATCAGGGTAGAACATGGATTATTGGGAGAGACTGACCTTCTACTTTAAATACCTCTCTATACTGTGCAGTGCCAACAGTGAGCATATACAGGGTTTCCCAAAAAAATGAGCTGATAGCTCAATTGTTGTTTCTTTTCAAATTTATCCCAATGGAATTAATAATTATTCAAAGTGTGTATAATTTTTTTGGGACACCCTGTATTTTACAATAGTAGCTATTAATATATAGCATTTATTGACCTCCTACTATGTTTCAGGATATTTTATGCACATTAGCTCATTGAGTGCTTGCAACACCCTGTGAGATAAGTGCAGTTAACCCACTTTGTAGATTAGGAAATTGAGGCTAGTAAACTCAGAGGACACGATGTAATCTGAGTTCTAAGTCTGAAGGCTGTACTGTTAGCCACAAGGATATTCTACCTCCCTAGGGAAAGGACAGTACAGAAGTTCCAGTTTGGGAAGCATAGACACTTGCCACGTTTTGCTCTGGCACCCACAGAGCACAGAGTTGGCTACTTTGAGTCTGTAATGATTCTTCAGTTGCTTGCTCTTTCTTTTTCACAAGCGGGAGAGAAAAAGATGGGTTAAAACATAGGGGCCTCTTTTCCAGGAGTTTAGATAGAAATTATTTTTCTGCGGTGTTGAGATATTCTGATCACTGACTTCCAAGCTGCAAACTCAGAGAGGTGGTCTGGGTTGATGCCTCCTCACCTCCTCTGGCACTAGGACCCCTATTTCTTATCATACAATGAATGCCTCAGCTGTCCCTCCGCTCTGAAGGGGTTGGAGCTTTAGTATCTCTTGACTGCAGTAATTTGCGTCTGTACCCCACACCCACCCATAGGGCTCCTCCGCCATAGGTGACACTCTTGCCCAGGGTCTGAATTCTTCTGCAATTCCTTCTCTGTCTTATACCACAGCCAACATTCTTTTAAAGTTAAGAGGTCAACCTGATAGGAATTTAAAAATGAGGCATTGCTCTTTTTACCTTTAATATCCAAATTCCAAATGTCTGCCATTCTCTTTCTGGAAAATGTTTTGGTGGGAATTTGAATGCCGGCATTTTATCACAGAGCCAGAATGGGCAGGTAGCAAAAGGAAATTCCTCTGGAGACCTTCTGAATTTGTTTCTTTCATCCTGAAATTTCTCTCAGGGCATACAGTGCCTGTGGGGTACAAGACAGGGCCATAAATTATGTCTGTCAACTGCTGGTATTTTCCAAATGGAAAATACAGTTGAGAGTTGCCAGGGAGTGGATGGCAGCAGATAAATATATGTGCATTTCTTTGCATAGCCTTTAGCCTCTCCCCTTCATTCTCTTTGGATCTCAGATACAGAGGGATTGAATTAATCATACTCCCCCATTGGTGGCACATTATTAATCACAGGGCCCTCCATTCATTCATTTTCATTCCCTTTTCAATTCCTGTTTCTTTCCTCCCCTATAGGCCAGCATTCTAATGTGTGCTTTCAGACTGTATTCTTGGACAGTGTGTATCTTTTTATCTACCTGTGTTTTTACCTTACATAAATGGTTACACATCTTGCTCAGTTTCTCACTTTGCTCCCTCAGCATGGTGTTGGGAGCCGTCCATACTCCTCTGCCTGCTTCTAGAGCATGGCTTCTGTGTATTTCACACTCCATGGTATGGGACACACTTTTTCTGCAGAGATGCCCTCCACCATCTCATGCCTCCAACTCCTCATTGCTACTGGCAACACTGCAAGGAACATCTTGTACATGTTCCCCCATGTGACAGTTTCTTTGGGTTACGTGCATGAGGAGAGTTGCTGGTCAGCTAATGGGGGTGCGCATACAGAGTTTGAGGGAGGGCCCTCCTGTCCTTCTCTGGAATGGTAAGTCCACAGCCCCGCCAGCTCTCCTTGAGGATTTCTCCATTCCTTCCAGCTCTGGCCATTA